AAGTTGTTCATCTCAACAATTTTATCACAGCAACAGAACTATGAATAACATAGTATGCCTTTATCTACAACAGTAAATCTGAGAATATGATACAAAGAAAACATGGGACCTAAAACCTGTATTTACTTCCTTGCTCTTTATGGAGGATTTGTGATCTCTACCTTAGAAAAATAATCATACAAACAAAAATACTGTTGCAACTGAACAACATTAAAGCTTTTACAAATCCCAACACTTAGTTATATTGTAAGTTTTTTTGTGCCAAGATTTCCTGTAGCCCAGGCTGGCCTCAAATTAACCCTGTAGTGTAGAATGATCCTGAATTTCTGATTCAACTGCCTCTGCTTCCTGAGTGATGGGATTACAGGTATGTGCCAACATGCTTCTTTTGTCCAGTTCTGGTGATGGAAACAGGTGCTTTCTGTACTCTAGGCAAACAATCTACCAACTGGACTACAACTATAGCTCTATATTGAAAGTTACTTTTTATTAAGATTACTCATAAATAAGTTATTCATGTCAGGCCCTTTATAAAATATTTATAGTAAAATATATATTCTTAAGCAAAAACTTACTATAGAACATAAGTTTTTCTATTATTTGTCTCAATATATTCTGAGAGAGGAAGAAAGAGATATTGGACTAAGATAAATAAGTAAGTGAAGAAGCCTGGTTCTTCTTAACCTTGACTTTTGCCACCATCCTTGACCCCAAGGATAACAAGAGACCCAAGAACTAATGCTGTAGATCAGACTTGAATTCATGTTGAAATCTCTTTCACATTCCCCAGCTCACCAAAATGCTTTTAAATCTCCCCACTGGCTGATAAAGCATACATTCCCATTGAAAACTGTCCCCTCCTGACCTCTCTTGCTTGGCAATAAGTCCAAACATGTTTCAATCCACTAAGATCCAAACAATATAGGTGACTGCTCCCCTATATCAGTGTTTTTAAGTATTCAACAGATTTGCTTCTGACAACAGGGATTCATCAAAGCTTATTACCCACATTTTCTCATTAAAACCTGCCAGGAACACTAGGAGGACAGGGGTATCATCCCTTCTGACAACTCCTCAAATTCACATTCACAATTGATAATATGACTAGCTGAGCCCCCAGGCCTTTCCACTACAGGACATTATATCTTATGTCTTCATAGGTTTCCCCCAGTAGAAACACATAAACAGCACACTCAGTGGAGGAAGATGTCACCCTACGTCAAGATCAATCCTTTTCTTCTGTCTCCACACCCATCAGCTGAGGTTCATCTCTGTTGATGCTCCTGGGGTCACCAGAAACAGGAAAATCTGGTCTAGTGTAATGTCCAGTTTCAGACTTATCAGAACCACTATACTCTCAGTTACTGGTCTTCCAGTTGCCTTGAATGATCTTCACCTGCAGGTAGGCATCCCTGGCTGCTTCCTTATAAAGCAGCTATTATTGTATGATAACCCTAAGGGTGCAACAGTGGCAAGCATGCCTTAATAGTAACCAAAAGCTCCCTAACTGAACACGAAATCCTCTCAACAAGAGTGAAACTATGCCTAATACTGGGAACCAAGACAATTACCAAGAGTTAGTGACGTCAGGGATCTTGGAGAAGCTACAGCTACCACTTTACCAAATAAGCATGATCCCTAAATACACTCTAAATATTTTTCCTCATACCCACAGATAAAAGTAATCCTTATCCCTCCTCCTTGCAGAGGATGGAGACCATTACAGAAAACCACAACCAATCAAAACACAGAGTTGTAGAGCCCACTCCCAATGCATACACCTACAAAAAAATCTCCCACATTTAAGTATAGAGAACATTGTGGAAGGGTGTGGTAGAAGAGACTAAAAGGGACAGAGGATCAGGGATTTTGCTATTAGTGTCTCCTGGGAAAGTTAGAAGCTACACCCATAAAGGCCCAATATCATTACTGCCTAAATACGAGCTAAGGAAGGACACAACAATAGATGCATCAAAGTGAATGGTGAAAAGCCCATGAGGTTTCAACCTTACACAAAGAACTACAGGCAACTAAAAAATTCTGAGAGTGGGAAAAATATTCTTCCTCAGGGAAGGGTACACTAATTAGTTATCCAATACCAAATTATCAGTTCTGAAAGCACAAATGTGAGAGACATTGTTCACACTGAGCAGGTTGTATTTAGGAATATATATATACATATATATGTATATAAATATGCATTGTAACAACAGTTAATGAAAAAAGAGGTCATCAATTAGAAAGAAAGTAAGTCTCTTTGGAGGGAGAAATGATGTAATTATATTATAGTCTAGAAAATAAAATGAAAATATGAAAAAAACACCTTTTCCTGGTTAAGGTTATTATTGCTGTGATGAAACACCATGAGCAAAAGCAAATTGAGGAGGAAGGTGTCTATTTGTCTTATACTTCCGCATCACTATTCATCACTGAAGGATGATGTCAGAACAGGAACCCAGACAGAGCAGGAGCCTTGAGGCAGGAGATGATACAGAGGTCATGGGGGATGCTACCATGATCCTCATGGCTTTCTCAGCTTGTTTTGTTGTAGGACCCAGGACAACCCACCCAGGAGTTGGACCACCCATAATGGGATAGGCCTTCCCCCTTTAATCACTGATTAAGAAAATGCCCTATAGGCTTGCCTATAGCCCTGTCTGATCTTCTGGGGGCCTTTTCTCAATTAAGATTCCTTCTTTCTTATGGCTGTAACTTGTGTCAAGTTGTCATAAAACTAACCAGCACACAGCTGTTGTGGCTTCCACCGCAACAGCTTGCTCATTCCTCCACAGTAGTTAGCAGAGTGGACCTCTCAAAACCAATGAAGTTCCACCCTGTCCCCAAGATCCCAGATGGACTAAGACTGGGTATCACATATCATCTCCGACGTCTTCTGTTTTGCTTTCACTTTACCCTGATTTTTCCTGTTTGGTGTTCAATACTGTACATAATTTCCAAATGTTTGCATCCCAGGATAGGCTCTTTAACAAGTATCTGAATCATGTATCTTTTACCTTTCTCCTGCCAGCCATAAGCACCAGCAAGGTAACACTCCCATCTCATCCTCTCCTTTTCCACTTTCTTTTGTAGACAGAAGATGGTAGCCTATGCCTCTTCGTCATTGTACACTCTCCTGTACCCGGAGAGTCTCGCTCTGGGAAGCCAGCTCAGCCTCAATTTCATGACTTATTGCACATACTAGGATATTGTAATTGCTACCATAGAAAGGAGGAAAGTCATTCCATATCATGCGCATAAAGATAAACCACATAGGGATTCCTCCCGTGGACAGTGGATTCAAACAGGTTTTCTTCAGTTGTATGTCTTGTCACCCATAGCAAAACTAATGACAGCACTCTTCCCAAATTTATCCTTGCTGTTGTGATCCCTTCAGCTATGCCAAGAGTTGGGGGAACTCTTTCCATAGAGAAGAGGTAAGCATCGACACCTTATTATAGGACCGCTTTGAGAAATAGAAGTATGATTCCACCAAAGTCCAACTTGCAGAACCAATAAAATTATTAGGTTAACTTACAGAGCATGGACACCGAGTTACTTACAAGAGTGTACATGATCTGAAAACAGCCACACCATTGTAAATTCTCTCCCCAGTGTGAGTGGTGTGTTCACTATAACAGCATAAATGGAGTCAGTCCATCCTTAACTTTCTACAATTATCAGTATGCATTATGTGCATGTGCAAAAATGCCTAAAGGGAAATTTATGTTTTTAAATGTCTTTACCATGTCTCATTCTCTGGAATAGTCTTTTCCGTATGTGTGTGTGTGTGTGTGTGTGTGTGTGTGTGTGTGTGTGTGTGTGTTTCTGTGTGTTTATACTTACATGAATTTATGTTCTTTACACACACTGACCTGCCTTCGTGAACACACACACACACACACACAATCTAGCTATCATTTATTTTAATGTGCCAACAACTATGACCCTTCCCCCTAGTTTTCCATTTTATGTTTCCACTTCTAGCATATTTGGAGACTGGAGCCTGCTGTGCAATTTCAAATTTGCTGGAGTAACTGCTTGGCTAAGACTGGGGTTCCTTTACTTACTAACTATGTGGCTTTAGGTAATTATATTTCTGGCTTTATGACTTCCCAATTGTTCCTCACTTTCTGTTCCTTAATAAAATGTATATAATCAGTATCCTGATTATAGTGAAGACTAATTTTAATACTTACATAAAGTGCTAGAGAATTACAGCCAAGTACATTATTATTACTGTAAGTACACTTGAAAATACAATCAAATCTTCCCTCTAAAAATTTCTGATGGAAGAAAAGTTTCTTATTCTGTGATGATCAAGATAAAGCATTAGCATAAGTGATTTAGCTTCAAATTTTCTTCTTCTCTTATTGAAACAGAGATTAAACTCTCAAAAAACAATGTCCAGATAAATCACACATAAAATTGGACCCAGAACACCAAATCCATTTGATTAGATTCTAGAAAGAAGGTATTGCTTTTGATTTGTACATAAACTAAGAGCAGGATAAGGCCTTAAATTTAAACATAATTATGTATGATTTTAATCCTGAAATTTATAAAACTTTCCACTGGAGGCTCAACAAGTTCTTCTAAGAGCACAAGACTCGGTACAAGGTGAGATGACTTACAAACACAGAGTCACTAGGGTAAACAATTTGAAGTCCAGAGAAAAAAACCAAAATGAAACATCCTTTATCATACTAACATTTGCATTCCATTATTAGTTTGAAGAAAAGGTATCATGACACCATAGGAAATTAATTTAATTACCATGCATGCCAGTTGTCTCATCTGTAACATACATAATATGAGATTTAGTTGCTTTATCTGTGTCAGACAGATGAAAAGCACTCACTCTTGTGCCCCAACCCCCGCACCCGGGCCAAGTCTACTGTGGGCTATCCTGGGGGGAGACAAATGGGGGACAGGAGACATGGAGAATGAAAGCAAGACAACCAGGCTGATCAAGCTCTGTTTACTGAGAATTTCATACGAGCTTATATAGGTGAATGAGGCAGTGCATGTGGCAGAGGAATGTTGGAGGTTGTAGACAGGAGGCTCTGAGGAATGAGGCAGGGAGCTGTCAGAAGCAGGAAATGTTTGATAAGCGATGAGCAGGAGATTTCACCAGAGAGTGCGGGTGATAATGAAGCATTGTCAAGTGATGGGTTATCTCTATGGTGCCAGGCCATCTGTGGGAAGACAGCCCCTGAGTTTTGGGAAGTGCCTTGGGGCAAGAAATAGAGATTTACTGTGATCTAGTCCTCAACACTTTTGTAGACCCAAAGTCAGTGCTCAATACTTAGTAGACACAAGTGGCAAGTGGTGAAATGTAGCAGATGCAATAATTATGCCTCTTAGTGTCTATTTGAGTTTAACCAAGCTATTTATCTCAGTTAATCTGTGCATCAATCTTCACATTTGTACAATAGAGGCAAAGAGATTATGTATCTCATAAGGTGATTAACGGCAATAAACTAGGGAGGATGTATAAAACAGCTAGGGTACTCAAGTGCATGGTGACTGTTTTTATCATTACCACAGCAAAAATGCACCTTTCCTTACCAATGAATACCATCCAGGTACTACATTCTCTAAAAATTTTATTATATTATACAAAGTTATAAATTAAAGTTACAAGTATTACCAAGAATAAAATTCTCACTTTAAAACATCATGGTGCCCCTATAAACTAGCTCTAGTGTTAGTGCTATGTGAATTCATTGGCTCCCAGTCCAAGATTCTGCCTTAGGAGTTGAATCTCTAACTCTTTCTGGTATTCTACATAGAAATTGAAGCAATTATACAAAATCCTCAGAATGAAAAGATTACGTATGAAGGGTGTCTTGTGAATTTGCTGAAGTAGTCATTTCAGCAGATTTTTTCTTCAGATAAAAGTACATAAATAATTAATGCCTTGTTACAAATCATATTTAATGACAAAATCAATGACTAGATAAATCAAAATATATTATTTTTATGTAAATAAATAAATTCTGTAAGCATGTAAGCTGACAGACTGTGATAACCACACTGCCAAATACTCTAGCACCCCATTTTCTCTGAGTCACCCCTATCCCCTGGTAGCAGTTGAACAGGCTGTCATCAAAATGATGGGATTATTCCTTCTCTCCTTGCATAACAGAAGCTGGTTTTCTATAAAATAGAGTAGTGGCCTCCACTCCATAAGAGATAAAGGATCCACCACAGCACTGCTTATGTGGAATACACATTAACAATAAAACAATGACTCACATAACAATGAAACCAGATATCAGCCATAGTGAAGGCTTTCTGGGTAACCTAGGGAGAAATTCAGGTAACTAAATTCTGAATGGTTTACTTTACCAAAGTAAAGATGTGAGATGACCCTTTTGTCCAGTTTCCTGTGGCTTGCATTCTCATGTCCTTAAATATAAAATAAGAATTAAAAAACAAAATCTCAATGGTGACTTGAGACATGTGAGGCTTCTATTAAAATATTTCACATTTCACACATAATTTGGCACTGGAAGATGATAGTCTAAGGCATAGGGCAAGGAATCATGGATAGTGCAGATTTCCTGCTTCTGTTTGTCACTGGTATCACTGTAAGGCCTGCTGTCTGGGTATTACTCCATCTATGTGAGTGCTCATTTTTACTCAAATCATTCCCCCTGTGGAAAATGACTATTTCATACCAGTCTTGAAGCTCTGATGCAGAAATACATCATATCCTTTTCAGTGTCTATATTCAGTAACTTCAGCTTTCATTTATGTCAACTTAACTCTATGTTTACTAGGTATGACTAGAATACAATTAGACATGCCAACAAATGACATTCTATTGAGTCACTGAGAACACTACATTAGCATTCTAGTTCCGAATCCTCAGTTCACCACTGACTAGTTGTATGACTTCATTCCCTAGTGAGAACGCCTCACCCTGGAAGGCAAGCCTGGTCTGGGAACATAGAGCAATAGTAAGGATTTTCTCAGACAGTGATATATTTGTAAAACAGGGAGTAGAGTTTTATGGTTGGGGAGAGGGGTGTATGCAAACATAATGAGGAGGGACTCATTGTGATTCAGCACAGGAGGTAAAAACATGGTTGGTATTGATACTGCCAAGATTAGGTGGTTTTACATACTTATAATCCTATCACTTGAAAAATAGAGGTATTAGGATCAGAAGTTCAAGGTCATCCTCTACTGTATATCAAGTTCTGGGCTATGCTAGGCTGAATGATAACATGTCTCAAAAAATAGAGAAAAGAAAGAATCACGGGACAGAAAAGACTGGCCATTGTAAAAGTAAAGGCTAGGTACTTCCTTGGCTTTTTAAAAAATATTTTAATAGAAATGACAATATATCGCTTCTCCTTCCTTTCCATCCCTCCAGCCCCTCCAAGTTACATTTCCTCAAACCACTCCCATTAACCCACTCTCAAGGTAATACTCTTTTCTTTGATTATTTATGTTCCATGTGTGTATATTGAGTCCATTTTAATATGTATATTTTTCAAGGCTGACCACTCTGCATTGGTTAACCAATAAGGGGCTTATCACTGGGAAAGGCTAGTTCTCCTTTTCCAGTAGCCAATTACTGCCTGTAGCTCTTTGTTTAAGGGTGGGGTCTCTCAAGTTCTCCCTTCACACTGAAATTTCCATTGATACCACTGTTGTTCTTATCTTATTTGTGTAGCCATTTCTAGAAGATACTGCTATACAGTCGACTTATGATTCATCTTATTTTTATACGCCATCTTCTTCAAATGGTCCCAGAGCCATAGATGCAGGAGCTGTGAGGCAGATGTGCCTGCTGGGCCTCATCTACAAAATCTTTCTCCTTCTCTCTGTCTTTCTCTTTCTCAATCTCTTTCTCTCTCTTCCTCTCTCTACTTTTATATGCTATTTTATTGAAAATAGTTTTTTATACAATATGTTCTGATTATAGTTTCTATTTCCATTGAGATCCGTACCTTTTCTGTCTCTCATTACAATATGAACAGACAACCATATGCTGGCCCACAGCTCTAGCAGAGGACTCCTACCTGACCAGAGGCCAGGCCAGAGCCATGAAACTCAAGTAAGACTGCCCCTCTCACCCAGCAAACGCCTCCCAGTATTACCCCAACCACCTCTCCTCTCCTTGTCACCATATGCTAGCCTTCACCTACAGTGGAAGCCATCTACCCCATCAGAGGCCAGGACAGCTCCTTGAAAACAAACTGAAGCCCCTTTCCCCACTACAGGCCAGGCCAGTTCTCTGACAACCAAGTAATCTAACTGCCCCCTTCCTCACCCACGCCTGACCAGCATAATCTCAAATGCTCCTCCTCTCATTAACACTGAACCCTGGCCCATACCTCTAACAGAAGCCTTCTACCCCATAGAAGTCCAGGCCAGCTCCCTGAAAACTAGTCAGAAGTCTCTTACACCACCAGAACAGAGGCAAGCATCCTGAATCCAAAAGACCACTAGCTAGACCATAGATGACACACACCACCAGAAGTCCAGCCCCCAAACTAGGAAGCAACCCCCTGCTAAAACGCAGTCCATCAGAAGTCCAGGCCCAACTCAGACAGAGTCCCTCTACTCAACCGGCCACTCCTGCCAGAAGACCAAAAGAAAACACCCATCCAACAAAGAAAAGTCCAGAGATTAGAAACTAGACCTATAATCACTCCAAATCTAGCTGCCCAAATGTGAGTGTAAGAACACAATCAACAACATCCAGGCAATATGCCACCGTCAGTGCCCACTCATCCCAGTACAGGAAGCCCTGAATATTCCAACAGAGCTGAAACACGAGAAAACTACCTTAAAACCAAATTTATGAAGATTGCAGAGGTCATTAAAGAGGAAACAAATAAATAACTTAAAGAATCCAGGAAAAGACAGTGAAAATTTTGGAGAAAAATCAATAGATCCTTAAAGAATGCCAAGAAAAAGTAAACAAACAGGTGAAGGAAACTGTTGAAGATCAGAAAATGCAAATGGAAGCAACAAAAATAACACAAATATAAGGAATTCTGGAAATAGAAAATCTGGGTAAGTAACCAGAAACGGTCGATGCAAACACACCAGCAAAATATAAAAAAATGGATAGAGTATCTCAGGCATTGACGATATGGTAGAATAAATAGATTCATTGGTCAAATAAAATGTTAAATCTAAAAAGTTCCTAGCACAAAACATCCAGGAAATCTGTGACAGTATGAAAGAACAAACCTAAGAATAGTAGAAATAGAAGAAAGAGAAGATTCGCAGCTCAAAGGCCTAGAAAACATATTCCACAAAATCACAGAAGAAAAATTTGCTTAACCTAAAGGAGATGTCTATAAAGGTACAAAAAACTTACAGAACACCAAATAGATAGGACCAAAAAAGATAGCCCACATGTCATATAATAATTAAGACATTAAAGATACAGGACAAAGAAAGGATAATAAAAGCTGCAAAGGAAAGAACAAAGTAACAAATAAAGGCAAACCTATTAAAATTATACCTGACTTCTCAAGGGAGAGCCTAAAATCCAGAAGGGTCTGAACAAATGTCTTGCAGACTCTGAGACGATAAATGTCAACCCAGACTAGTATACCCAGCAAAATTTGCAATCATCATAAATAGAGAAAACAAGATATTTCATGGCAAAGTCAAATTTAAACAATATCTATCCACAAATCTATCCCTATGAGAGGTACTAAAAGAAAAATTCCAACACAAGGAGGTTTATTACACACAGGAAAATTCAAGTAACAAATAATCTCACCATCAAAACCCAAAGAAGTGAAACACACACACACACACACACACACACACACACACACACAAAACCACCACCATAACCGCCACTGCTAACAGCAACAACAACATAATCTGAATTAAAAATCATTGGTCATTAATATCCCTCAATATCAATAAACTCAATTCCCCAATAAAAAGACAGAGTAAACAAAATGGATACAAAAACAGAAACCATCCTTTTGCTGCATACAAGAAGCATACCTCAAAACAAAAATAGATGTTATCACAGAGTAAAAAGATTGGGAATAAAAAGATTTTCCAAGCAAATGAAATTAAGAATCAAACTGGCTAGGTATTATCTAACAAAATGGAGTTCCAACTAAAATTAATCAAAATCCAATACCTCTTCAGGTAAATGTCCTGGAAACAGCATGGATATGAGACATAGGTAAAGCATAATAAAGGCAAAATACAGCAAGGTAATTGTCAACATCAAATTAAATAGAGAGATACCTGTTGTATGAATGTTCTGACCCGGCAGGTCCCACCACTGCCCTTCAGCCCCCAATAAACACACAGATGCTATACTAATTATTAAACTGTTAGCCAATGGCTATCTCTGTTTTAACTATTAACTGATTTCTATTAATCTATGTATTTCCACATGGTCTTGGATTACCGGAGAACACCTGGCACATCCTCTCTTCCCGGGCTCACATGGCAACTCCATCTGCCTATGCTTCCCAGAATTCTCCTCATCTCCTAGCCTTGCATACCTGGCCAATCAGCCAATTAAAGTTTTATTCACTAACCAATAAGAGAAACATATATACAGAAGGACACCTTCCATCAGAAACTCAAAGCAATTCCACTACAATTGGGACCAAGAAAAGGCTTCCATATTCTCCCTATCTATTCAAAATATTACTTGAAGTTCGAGATAGAGCAATAACACTACTAAAGGAAATAGATGGAATACAAAGTGAAAGGGAGGAAGTCAATGCATTGCTATTTGAAGATAATATATATGATAATATACATGAGAGATTACAAAAATTCTACCAGCAAACTCCTGCAGCTGATAAATATATTCATCAAAGTCACAGAATAAAAAATTAACTCAAAAAATCAGTAACCCTCCTTATAAAAACAATAAACAGGCTAAAAACAAAATCAGGGAAACAACACCCTTTTACAATAGCCACAAACATTATAAAATGTCTTGGTGTAACTCTAAGAAAACAAGTGAAAAACCTGTTTGACAAGAAATTCAAGTCTCTGAAGAAAGAAATTGAAAAAGATATCAGAAGATAGAAAGATTGATCATGTTCATAGATCAGTATTATTAACATAGTAAAAATGGCAATCCTACCAAAAGCAATCTACAGAGTCAATGCAATTCCCATCAAAATCCCAACACAGTTATCTATAAACCTTGAAAGAACAATACTCAACTTCATATAAAAAACCAGGATAACTACAACAATCCTGTACAATATAAGAAAGTCCAGATCACCATTTTTGATTTCCAGCTTTACTACAGAGCTATAGTAATAAACACCTCATGGCACTGGAATAAAAACAGACAGGTGGATCAATGGAATTGAATCAAAGAACCAGACATAAATCCACAAATCTATGTACACCTGATTTTTGACAGAGAAGCCAAAATTATACAATAGAAAGAAGAAAGTATCTTCAACAAATGGTGTTAATCTAACTGTATGTCATCCTGTAGAAGAATGCACATAGTTATGCACAAAACGCAAGTCTGGGTAGATCAAATACTTCAAAATAAATAGAGTTACACTGAACCAGAGAGAAGAGAAAGTGGAGAATAGCCTTGAATATGTTGGCATAGGAGACAACTTCCTAAACAGAACACAAACTGAACAGGCACTAAGGTAAACAATTAATCAATGGAATCTCATGAAATGAAACTAAAAGGTTCTGGAAGGCAAAGGACTTGTCAACGGGATGAAACAGAAGTCTACAGAATGGGAAAAGGTTTTATCATCCCCTTATCAGACAAAGGGCTGATTTCCAAATACACAAAGAATTTAAGATAATAGAAATCAA